CCTCCCGAGTCCCGGTTGATTGGGAGGAAATGGGGATTTTGCTGTAACCTTCCCCTGGAGTGGGATGGGAATGGAGATTTTACAGTATCCTTCCCCTGCCACTCCCACCAAGCCACGCCCACAGAACTGGTAGTCAAAAAATTTGAATCCCACCACTGATTCAGGTTCTGTTAACAGTGTGAATCCCATTTATTTCTGATTATATTCTCTCGCATACTAGAGTAGCTCTTCCACGAAACCACTCTGGGATCGCAGGGGATACAGGAAGTGACTTGACATCAACCTGAAGTCCTAAAGCTTCTAAGAAACCAGAAGAAACATCCAAATTATTTTAGCGCGATGAAAAGAGATGGGAACCTGGACTTTCAAAGAGCATCTTTGAACTTGGAACCCAGGAACAAGCGGTTCTGAAAAGACAGCCCAAAATCACCTCTAAAATCCCTCCAAAGAGCCCTTCCATTCCAAACCAAGTAGAACCTCATCAGCATTCCAGCGAAGTGAAATTTGTCATTTCCCCCCCCCCCCCCCCCTTCCTAACTGGATTTTCTGGTCCAATCACTTCTGATTCCCTTGAAAAGGCAAGGAAGCCCAGCTGATGGACCGGAGGCCGAGAAAACTCCAGCCCCTTGGGAAGATGACTCAACTCTCTCAATTTGCATACTGAGGCTGGACAGCTCCTAGGCCTTATCTGTGGTTATAAAGGAACGCTTTCGGGATCTTTTGCCGGCTGCTTCATGCCAAACCCGGAGACGCCTTCTCACAGCTCTGCCAAACTCCACTCAACAGAATCCTAGGGACAAATACAGCGGGCACAAGACTAGAGGTATTTTGTTCTCCTCTCTTTCCTGGGCATTTATTGCGTGGCCCTGCCGTTGGTGCCCGAAACAAGTTTATAATTGCTACATACTGAAGTGAAACGTGTCTTAATTGTACTGTAGAGTGTGTGGCTTCAGGATACAGGTGATATATATATATATATATATATATATATATATATATATATATATATATATATATTGTACTGTTGACTACAATTAAGGATCGATCCAGCGGAAGCTGAATGAGCGAAATGAATCAAGAGGCTTGGAATGAGTAAATAAGTTATGTAAAAAAAGATGTGGAGACTCTAGAAAGAGTGCAGAGAAGAGCAACCAAGAGGATTAGGGGACTGGAGGCTAAAACATAAGAAGAACGGTTGCAGGAACTGGGTATGTCTAGTTTAATGAAGAGAAGGACTCGGGGAGACATGATAGCAGTCTTCCAATATCTCAGGGGCTTCCACAAAGAAGAGGGAGTCAAGCTATTCTCCAAAGCACCTGAAGGCAGGACAAGAAGCAACGGGTGGAAACTGATCAAGGAGAGAAGCAATTTAGAACTAAGGAGAAATTTCCTGACAGTTAGAACAATTAATCAATGGAACAACTTGCCTCCAGAAGTTGTGAACGCTCCAACACTGGAAGTTTTTAAGAGGATGTTGGATAACCCTTTGTCTGAAGTGGTGTAGGGTTTCCTGCCTAAGCAGGGGGTTGGACTAGACGACCTCCAAGGTCCCTTCCAACTCTGTTATTCTATTCTATTCTATTCTATTCTATTCTATTCTATTCTATTCTACCTTCTGAAGATGCACTTTGTTCTCTGCCTGCATTCAACAACCACAGGATTAGTCCAAAAGAAGACCATGTTTTATAATTGCTGCTATTTTAAATCCCCATCTCCAGAACGGGGACTCTTAACACAACTTCTCATAAGGGAATGATTACCAAAGAGGTAGCTCCAAAATTCAATCTCCCCATACGCACCAAACACTTTTTTTTTTTTTGGCAACTTTGTGACTTCTAGCAATTTTGCATACTCATTCATGAGTTTTCTTGGCAACAGTAGATAAAGAGTTTCCCATTGCCACTTTCTGGAGTTTTTTCTACTTCCAGCTCTCAGTCTCTCATGCTTTCCCATGCAAAGATCAATCACATCTGATCCTTTTAAACTTAACTGAGATCAGACAGAACTTTTAAAAAAAAAGAAATAAGCATCAGTTACAGAACCTCTGTTCCTAGAACAGCAAATCCCTCCCCTGCATGCTTGAATCTTCAAATATTTTTAATATTTAATTTTTAAGCATTTTTATTTTGTATTAAGCTTTAATATTATTTGGGTATAACGTCACAATGTTATCTGGCTTCCCCATTGCTTGAAGGTCGCAAATGGGGATCACATGACCTCGGGACACCGCGACAGTTGCCAAGCGGCCGAATTTTGATCACGTTCCCATTAGGGATGCCACAACGGTTGCAAGTCTGAAAAACCGGTCATAAGTCGCGGGTTTTTTTCAGTGCCGTGGTAACTTCCGAACGGTCACTAAATGAACTTTTGTTAATTCGAGGACTTCCTGTGCATCAAATCATGGGTTAGTGATGCTTTTGATTCCACCTGACTGAGTAGATGGGACTTTTATGATCTCCCCAAATGGCATCAAGAGCTTTTCCTGTTAGCTAGTGAATTTTGGTGGGTGGATCAGACGGTGGCACGCATCCTCCAACAGGATTTCATTACATTAGAAGTCACAGTGTTGGATAATGAGTGCAGAATCTGGCTTTGAATCACTGTATTTTCTGTGCAACATGGTGTTGGAAATGCAAAGATGATTCAGTAGCTACTTGTCCTGGGCCTAATGTTATCATCAGTACAGATAATAACAAGTGTTTAGCTTTTTTTTTAACCTAATGATGACATTGGTATATAACTCAATTGCTTGCATCATATAACTGTTATGCAACTCCTTTTCTGCCTGGAATTCGGTTTAACTTTCCTACTGAGGAAAAACAGAAATGCAAAATGGCTTCGGAAGTCAGATAATCAATGGATCGGGAAGAGGTAGAACTCAAACCGAGTGTTTCGACGTTTAAGGCAGCGACGGGGATTTTTGTATGTGTGTTACAGGCAGTAGAATTTTGAATATTTTTATAATTAACCTTTGAACAGTGAAAAAGGTGAACATTTCTGAAAAGAGGTAAATAAAGCAGAAGCCTGAAAGCAGTGGTGGAATTCTACCGGTCCGGACCAGTTCAGGCGAATCGTTAACTCCGACTTTCAGCGGTGAGCGAACCGGTTCTCTCTTTCTTTGAAATGGGCCTGCCCACCCCTGCGTTATACTCACCTATATTTCTGCTTCCAAAGCCTGGCTGATCGAGTCGGCAGAGTAGATTGTCGCTCCTCGGCTGTTTTCCTTGCTCTCAGTGGCGCAGAAGTTCAATTTTTTGCGCATGCATCTGGCGCACGAGCGAGATGGGAGCGCATGAAGCATGAGCTCAGCGAACCGGGGTTGTTAAACCGGTAGGATCCCACCACTGCCTGAAAGCATATTGAAAGCAGAACTACAGTGAAATCTGAGTTTGGAATTAGGATGGCTGATTTTGTGCAAATTCAAGTAACTTCTCTTGCTGTTCAAAATATTTCCCAGGCAGAAGGACTCTTATAAAGACACACACTCAATTCTTGGCTATATTGCTCAGCCACCCACCTCCAAGACAAATATATCGACTGGTTATTTTACTTCAGTGATCTTCTCTGCAAGAAATTCATTGTAATTCTGCTCACTCACAAATCCAAGAAACACGTTTGGGGTTTTTTTCCACCAGTTTTGCTTTGCTGGCTGTCAGCATGGAAAAGAATGATAACTGCAAATGGAAATGAGATGAATTTAGTAACCGCCATCCAGTTATAGATGTTTTCTGCAAAACACATCCAAAAATACAGTTCCTTACAGAGACATCTGTAAAGGCAAATGCTTCTCCTGTTCATTTCCTTATAGCAGGGGTCGGCAACCTGCGGCTCTGGAGCCGCATGTGGCTCTTTCATCCCTCTGCTGCAGCTCCTTGTCGCCAGTCGGCTCCACAATTGATAGGGCTTTCGGTTAGGACAGGTAGAGGAAAAAGGACGCTAGGAAAAAGGGCTAGGAGGAGACTCTATGGTGGGGGAACTGGACTTCCGGTCGGCAAAGGAGAAGGGACGCCACACTAGGAGACTATAGTGGGGGAACCAGACTTCCGGTCAGCTCCAGAATTGAGCAGGGGGCTTCTGGTTTTGTGGCTCTTTGAGTGTTTAAGGTTGCCAGTCCCTGCCTTATAGTTTCTTTGACTTCTGTCCTTTCCTTTTCTTCAAGCCATGAAATTCCTGTTTGTCGGCTTTTTAGAACAATTCCCTGAAAAGCTTTTGTCATACGAGTCTGAAACTTCCAAATTTGGCCTGACATGGAACATTTTTTGGTGGAAAGCCTTGAAACCATGTACATGAATATTATTACTCATTCTGCCCAGCGTAACATCCAGTACGCATTCGGTTGTCTTTGATCTCAACCAGCAGAGAGCAGCATCTTATAAAGACTTTGCTCTGTTTCTTAAATTGTTGTAAGGACTTCTTGGAAATAGGTGACTAGTCTTTGTTGTAGCTAAAAAAAAAAAAAGTTTTATTAAAATGATAATTTAAAAAAACCAATCTTGCCTAATCAAGATTTTAGCATAGGTTCTCCAGTGAAGAAACAGCTGTTCTCCTAAGACTGCTGCTGTATTCTCTTTGTTGCTTTGACAAGTCTTTCAAAATAAAAAATAAAAAATTAGAAATCATCTACCCAGCCCACCCATGGAACACTGCAATTGGTAACTGGTACTGACACGTGTAAACCAGTCAGTGTTGAAATCTGGGAAAATAGAACGATACTCCTGAAAGTTGTATCCTGTGATTTAAATTCCTCACTCCTTCTTCTGGACAATTATTGGACCTGGAGACCTATTTAAGGTTTGTAAGAATGAGGAATTATTACAGACATCAAAGTTTAGAATCCAGGCACTGGATTAATCACACTGCTTGGAAATTCTCAAACTTGGAGAGAGGTGGGGGGAGAGGAAAAGAGGAGGAGTGATGGATTATAAATCCCTGAAAAGAGCCTGACTCTGGTATTTACCTCTGGGTTGTCCTAATTCAGAATTCCAACCTTCTGTTTTCAGATTTACAGAATGGGGGAAGTTTTGCCGAAAGAAACGAAGGACGAAACAAAGGAGGACGACGCAGCCCTGATTGAATTCTACAGCTCTTTCAAGGACCTCTTTGAGTTCTTCTGTCTAAATACCACGATCCATGGCACCATTCGCTTGGTCTGCTCGAACAGCAATCGGATGAAAACAGCCTTCTGGGCTCTGCTCTTCTTATCCAGCTTCGCTATGCTCTACTGGCAGTTTGCACTGATCTTCAACCAGTACTGGGCCTACCCTGTAGTCATGTCGATGTCGGTGCATTCGGAACCAAAGATGTTCCCTGCCATCACTCTTTGCAATTTGAATCCTTCTAGGTAAGTTTCCCCACCCCCACCCCCACTCCCCACCCCTGCTGAATTTTGGGAAATTGAACAGAAATTCAATTTCGATTCAATTTCCCAAACGTTTCCCCTGCTCCACAACAGCTCTTGCGATCCGTGCAAGTGAGGTGAATCAGTGGACGACATCTCCCCCCGAAAATAAGACCTGGTGGGTTTTTTTTGTGGCAAAACAAAATAAGAGAGGGTCTTATTTTTGGGGAAACAGGGTATTGTTCGCCTCATATTGTCCCCGGGAGAACCGAAGCAGCTTACAAATTGGATGAATAAACGAATCAAATGATTTATATGGGTGTTGTAGCCAATCAGGGATCAGAGAGTAATTAGGCCAATGTTATGGCTCTAGACAGCTGAACTGATTTTAGCTCTTGCTGATGGCCTTGACGACTGTTGACTGTGAGCGGAAAGGTTCCTGGAGATTAATCAAACATAATTAATGGGATAATTAGCATAACCCAGCATACTCTAGTGTTTAGGGAATAGGATAGTATTTCCTCCCAAACAAGATCTCAGAGGTTTTTTTCCCTGGGTTTTATAAATCCTTTGTCATGTCTGCCATCTTCCCCAGGATCAGCCCAGTCAATCAAGATATAGCTGAACTGGATAATCTGGCGAGGGAAACTTTATACAATTTATATGGCTTCCACATTCCTAAGAGCACCCCAGAAGACGTCAGCATCGACATTTCAGGAGAAAATCCTGGCCAGGTCAACAGCACCAGATTTCATCTGGATCGTAACATCGCCCTAGTGAAGATGGGTGGAAAAGTGGGGTTTCGGCTGGTAAGTGGAACGCCTTCCCCCCACCCCCATCCCCCAATTGTAATGCCTTCTTTTATTGACCACTTGCATCAAATTTAGAATTTGAAGGATTCTCAATGTAGCCTTACTTTTTGAAGGAAGGGACTGGGTATGTCTAGTTTAATGAAAAGGAGGACTAGGGGAGACATGATAGCTGTCTTCCAATATCTCAGGGGCTGCCCCAAAGAAGAGGGAGTCAAGCTATTCTCCAAAGCACCTGAGGGCAGGACAAGAAGCAACGGGTGGAAACTGATCAAGGAGAGAAGCAACTTAGAACTGGGGAGGAATTTCCTGACAGTTAGAATAATTAATAAGTGGAACAACTTGCCTGCAGAAGTTGTGAATGCTCCAACACTGGAAATTTTTAAGAAGAGGTTGGATAACCATTTGTCTGAAGTGGTGTCGGGTTTCCTGCCTGGGCAGGGGGTTGGACTAGAAGACCTCCAAGGTTCCTTCCAACTCTGTTATTCTATTCTCTGAACAAAAGATCAATGAGGACTTAACGTATTTAGTACAGGCAGTCCTCGGCTTACGACCACAACTGAGCCCAAAATTTCCTTCGCTGAGTGAGACGTTGGTTAACCGAGTTTTGCCCCATTTTACCACCGTTCTTGCCTCCGTTGTTAACTGAATCACTGCAGTTGGTAAGTTAGTCACCCGGTTGTTAAGCGAATCCGGCTTCCCCGTCGACTTTGCTTGCCAGAAGTTCGCAAAAGGGGATCATGTGACACACACACCCACACCCCGGGACATATATACGAGGCATCTGTGTCTGAATTTTGATCACGGAGATGCCGCCAAGGTCATAACCGTGAAAAATGGTCACATGTCGCATTTTTCACTTCGAACGTTCTCTAAACAAACCGTCGTAAGTTAAGAACTACCTCGAGGATTTCCAGTGCATTGATCTGGAAAAAGAGAAAGAACTTTTGCCCAGTAACCTTGCTATCTTCCTTAAGTTTCTTAATTCCCTGATTAGATAACTCCTTAATCACCAGGAGATAACCCCCCCGCCTTGGGTGAGAGCAGAGTTTCTACTGTCAATCAGTCGGTTGGGAGGGATAAAAAAGCCCAGGCCATCCAATCTGGAGGAAGTGAGGCAAGCTTTTTACTAGTGTAGAATCATCATGATGAAAGAGGGAGCTTTTTAAAAAAAAAAAAAAAAAAAAAACTGTGACTCAGTCCAGCGCAAGGCGCTTCCCCCAGCTCAGTTCTTGCCTCTCTCCTACAATAGCCTCCGCTCCTTTTGTACCTGTAAAATAAATAATAATCATGGGCTTAAGGCATATGTTATTGTTAAACGCCAGCAACAAACCTGGCAATTAAGCATAGCTTAAGGAAGGCAAGAAGTGTATTGCTCAGAGCTTCCATGGGACAACTCATGAGATACCGGCTTAGTGAGAAGCTCCCATAGTATCTTGACATCCGGATTCAAGATTTATGGGTGGCGATAAATCTTGGGTTCTACTTACCTTTACTACCGGTTCGCATCGCGCCCACGCTATTCTGCACATGCGCAGAAGCTTCTGTGCATGCGCAGATCGCCTATGATGTCCGGGTCAGTGGGCGGAGCCTCTCGCTGGTTTTACTACCGGTTCTTGTGAACCGGTCCGAACCGTGGGCAACCCACCACTGGGTGGCGATGTGGTCCATATACGTCTTAATTTCAATGTCGCATTAGTGGCAGCAGTGTTAACGTCGTGGCCTTGTGCTTGCGGAAAGAGAAGTCATTTAAAAGTGTGGGGGGGGAATAGAGAGATTTCTCCCCCTTTTAAAGATTGAATCTTGTTTCTCTCTTCTCTCTCGGGCATAGGAAGTAATGTCTGCAGGAAGGGAGAAAAGCTAGACCAGAATGATCAAAGTTGAAAGGGACAGATAATCCACTACTCACAGGGCAAATTGTCCCTTGTGTCTTATTTGTGGGTTTCTGTTGTAAGGGGACGTGGTGGCTCAGCGGTTCGAATCCCTAGTGCTGTGTAACGGGGTGAGTTCCCATGACTTGTCCCAGCTTCTGCCAACCTAGCAGTTCAAAAGCACATAAAAAAGGCAAGTAGAAAAAATAGGGACCCCCTTTGGTGGGAAGGGAACAGCGTTCCGTGCGCCTTTGGCGTTGAGTCATGCCGGCCACATGACCACGGAGACGTCTTCGGACAGCGCTGGCTCTTCGGCTTTGAAACGGAGATGAGCACCGCCCCCTAGAGTCAGGAACGACTAGCGCATATGTGCGAGGGGAACCTTTACCTTTACCTTATTGTAGGAAGCAGTGTCCACAAAAGCAGTAGCATCTATCCAAACCTTGTCCAGGTAGTCCTCGGCTTACGACAGTTCGTTTAATGACCGTTCAAAGTTACGACAGCGCTGTACAAAGTGACTTACGAATATTGACCTATCTTGCATCATCCGCGTGGTCACGTGATTAAAATTCAGACACTTTGGTGACTGACTCATATTTACGACGGTTGCAGTGTCTCAGGGTCACGAGATCCCCTTTCTCGACCTTCTGACAAACAAAAGTCCAGTGGGAAGCTGGATTTGTTTAACAACCGTGTTACTAACTTAACAACGGCAGTCTTTCACCGAACAGCCACGTCAAGAAAGGTTGTAAAATGGGGCAAAACTCACTTAACAATGCTCTCGCTTAGCAACAGGAAGTCAGGGTTCCGTTGCAGTCATAAGAACAATCAACCCATGGAAGAGAAGTTGCCTTCAGAAGTTGTGGGAGCTTCATCACTGGAGGCTTTCAAGAAGAGACCGGACTGCCGTTTGTCAGAAACGGTGTAGGGTCTCCTGCTTGGGCGGGGGGTTGGACTAGATGACCTATAAGGTCCCTTCCAACTCTGTTAATCTGTTATTACCTGTATTACAGTTTCTTAGAATCTCAGCATATTTATCCTCCTCCTTTTCTTTTCTTTTCTTTTTTTGTTCCCAAGTGCAACACAACAGGTGGAAATTGTTACAACAAGGTCTACATTTCTGGAGTGGATGCTGTCCAAGAGTGGTACCGTTTCCACTACATGAATATCATGTCACAGATCCCGTCCATTATCAAAATGTCCCAGAATGATGATCGCTTCAAAAACTTGATCTATTCTTGCCAATACGATGGGGAGCCGTGCCGAACAAGGTAATTAACATCTGCATCTGCTATTGGGGAAGGTGTGCTGTTTTGCTCCGGATTATCACCTCCCCATTATGGAAATGCTTCCCTTGTCCAACCTTTTGATTGACATCATAAAACCAGGGATGCTATTCAGCGGGTTCTGACAGGTTCTGGAGAACTGGTAGCGGAAATTTTGAGCAGTTCGGAGACCCGGCAAATACCACCTCTGGCTGGCCCCAGAGTAGGGAAGGGAACGGAGATTTTGCAGTAACCTTCCCCTGGAGTGGAGAGGGAATGGAGATTTTGTAGTATCCTTCCCCTGGAGTGGGGAGGGAATGGAGATTTTGCAGTAACCTTCCCCTGGAGTGGGGAGGGAATGGAGATTTTGCAATATCCTTCCCCCAGGAGTGGGGAGGGAATGGGGATTTTGCAGTAACCTTCCCCTCGAGTGGGGAGGGAATTGAGATTTTGCAATATCCTTCCCCCAGGAGTGGGGAGGGAATGGAGATTTTGCAGTAACCTTCCCCTCGAGTGGGGAGGGAATGGAGATTTTGCAGTAACCATCCCCCGGAGTACGGTGGGAATGGAGACTTTGCAGTATCCTTCCCCTGCCCCGCCCGCCAAGCCACACCATGCCCGCCAAGCCACGCCCACAGAACCGGTAGTAAAAAAAAAATTAATTCCACCACTGCTTCTAACCCCACTTGTCAAGCACACCCCCCACCTATTTAAATCACCAATTTCACCAAGTTGTTTCCGAAGTTTCACAACGGGGCATCGACAGCTTTCTCCTTGGGGTGGGGGTAGGGGGAAATCTCGCCATTGCTCCAAACTCCCTCCTGCTTCCTATATCTCTCGAGGTGAAGGGGAGGCCGAAGCTACCCCGAGCGCCGCCCAATGCTCACAATTCGCTTTTTCCATTCCGACACAACCGCCGTCATGTTGAGAACAATCTGATAAAACCATTGCAAACCTACCCACGCCTGGTTAAATAACTTCTCCTGACACTTGCCCCGAGCATTGTCCTGGGGACATTGCAGAGGCTTTGCAACTCACCTGGACATGAAAGAAAGGACAAAAGGTCCCTTTTTTTGCCGTATTGCGGAGTCACCCAGCCCAAAGCTAGTCGGATTGCACAAATAAGTGATAGGTTTCACTTTGTGTCACTGGAACAACTCACGTTGGGCTGGACAAATGGGTCCGTTTGGGATTTTCTTCCCTCCCATGCCTCTTTCTTCTCGGCCTTCTCTATATTTATTTGAGATATCTATAAGATACCCAATTTTAATATTTAACCCGCCAGAAAGGGGAAATGCTCAACTGCACGCTTGGAGAGTAATCAAGTGAACAGCATGTCTGTTGTAATTCAGAAAGAAGCATTGAGGCAATCCAGGTTTTTATCTTTCTCCTGGCTCCACCCTGATCCTTCTGGCAATGTAGCCAAACGCCATCATGTCCCTCGGAAGGCCCACCTGTGGCCTTCGACCCAGAAAAACTGCAGCCCTTCTGATCTTCTAGCCCGTTCCTCAGATGGCGCTGGCTGAGGAATTCTGGGAGTTGGAAGTCCACGCGGTTTAAAGTTGCCGAGTTTGGAGATCTCGATTTAGATAGATTTGCACGTGGAGTGTGGCGAATAAAATAACGAAAGTTTGCTAATCATTTTTTTTTTTAAAAAAAGTCTCCCCGGAGATTGCACCCAAGATTTTTCCATTCCATCCACAAATCTTGAAATATAGGCTATATCTCTGTGCTAACCAAACCTCTAGCTAGCTCTAGGTCTTCCAGATTTGTTTGTTTGTTGTTGTTGTTAGTTGCGAAGTTGTGTCCAACATATCGCGACCCCATGGACCATGTTCCTCCAAGCCTTCCTGTCCTCTACCATCCTCTGGAGTCCATTTAAACTCACGCTGACTGCTTCGGTGACTCCATCCAGCCACCTCGTTCTCTGCCGTCCCCTTCTTCTTTTGCCCTCCATCGTTCCCAGCATTAGGCTCTTCTCCAGTGTGACCTTCCTTCTCATTCTTCCAGATTAAGGACATCTAATCCCTTTCAACTTCAGAAGGTGTGATTTGATGAAGCAAACGATCCTAATTGGCCTATTATCAACCTAAGACTTTTTGTCTATCAACATTTGAATTTTCAATAAACCTTTCACTTTGTGCCAGCTCTCTGATTACACTTGGCTTGAATACCCTGCAGGGGGTGACTTTTGACCTTAGAACTGACATGTGATTCTTCACCATTATTTTTTTTATCTTGCCTCATCATCATGTCTGTATGTACACAGTATCACCTTTCCTAGGTTGTTGGGGGTTTTTTTTCCTCTCTTTTTGGTGGAGCCCGAGCAGGAAACGTCAACCTCTGCCCAGTCTGTTTTGAAATTAGATACAAGGGAACAGACTGCAAGAAGCAAAATCATCACGCTATCACCATATCCGCTAAGCAAACATTTGTTTTAGGCTTATCCAGACAAAACTTAAGAAATTCACAAGCTCTTGGATATGCTAAGGAATTGCCAGATATGAACTTTACTCAATCCACCGAGCAGGTGTAAATATAACGGATTACACAATGTCTCCACAAGATTTAGATTAAATTGGATCATACTGCTCAGGGGTGAAATCCAGCAGGTTCTGACAGTTTCTGGAGAACCGGTAGCGGAAATTTTGAGTAGTTCAGAGAACCGGCAAATACCGCCTCTGGTTGGCCCCAGAGTGGGGAGGGAATGGGGATTTTGGAGTATCCTTCCCCTGGAGTGGGGAGAGAATGGGGATTTTGTAGTATCCTTTCCCTGGAGTGGGATGGGAATGGGGATTTTGCAGTATCCTTCCCCTGCCACACCCACCAAGCCACACCATGCCCACCAAGCCACGCCCACAGAACCGGTAGTAAAAAAAAAATTGGATTTCACCACTGATACTGCTGTAAAGATATATATTTTAAAAAATCTTTTAGAAGCCATCCTAGAAAAACCACTGTAATATATCAGTTAAAGTGTTGGATGGGGACATGAGGGCCCAATTTAACTGACCATTTGATTATGGAGCTTCCTGGGTGACTCGAGGCCAGTGGCTTTCCTAGACCAGCCTATGGATTGCTGCAGGGCATATATGGGGTGAGACCAGTACCTGGCCCCGGCCCATTCAGAATGGGGCCGCAGAAGCCCGAGCGTGCATGCATAGCTCCATTTTCTTAAGCACTTGTGCAAATGGAACTTTGTGTGTGTGTGTGTGTGTGTGTGTGTGTGTGTGTGTGTGTGTGTGTGTACTTACTTTGTGTGTACTTTCAAATGTACCGCCACTTGTGTGGAATCCACCCTGCCGGTCCACGAAGCTGGAAAAGTTGGGGACCTCTGGTTTATACCGTTTATCACAACCAGAACAAATGAAACATAAAACCCTTCCCAACTTGGAGAAAACCGGTCCACTATTAACAATCACCATGCCCAGAAAATGCATTTTATCATTTCAATTTTTTTTTTCTGGGCCTATTTTCATTCTTTCTTTTCTTTCTGTGATGTCTTTTCACAACAGCGATCACGAACATTTTCACCACCCGGTCTACGGAAGCTGCTTCACCCTTAACAAGAATGGAACGGATAAGTTCTGGAAAGCTTTCAAGCCGGGAATTGTTTACGGTATGTACAGATCCCCCCCCAAAAAATAAGCCAATTAATCCAAATCTTGCAAAATTAGATTGAAATGCCAGTGGTTGGGGGTTGCTGCGCTGTGCCTTCTGTTTTCTTTTTTTTTTCAGGATTTGATTGGCCATTGGGGGAAAACAAGATGCTATCTTTAGGTTCTTAAACTTTTAAATGCAAGGTGATCTCTCAACTGCTGTTTCCCCCCCCAAAAACAATCAAAAAGTGTTTCCTTCGAATCAAGATAAGCTTAACAAACAGGTTGATGCAGTTTTCTCGGCAGCGTTACTGGTTTACAATCACCTTCTCTGAAATGTTTCTCCAGCTTCCAAAAGTAGCTCCAACTTCTATGTCCTAATGCGTCTTTTGGAACAAACATTAATATAAATCCCGGTCATATTTTGGAGGAAACGTGTGTATATATATATATATATATAAAAACTGAAGACTGGTTTTAATCAGAGTAACTGTGGAAAAAGCAGGATCCCATGACCTCATGTCACCTTACTGATAAAAAACAGAGAAAGTGAGAGGCAATGAGAAAAAATCTGGAGGGCAGGGCGCGGAGAGAATGAAAACAGCGCTACAGACCTGGGCAGCCATTTGGGGAATCACAATTCCAGATACAGGTTGCTCCGAGCATAGCAGACATAAAATACAGGATGTGTTTAAACAGGCAGACGGCAAGTTTATGAGAGGCTAACACTGTTTTTAGAACGTGTTACTCTAGGGAGAGCCAAGGAAAGAGGATAGGGTGAGTCACAGAGATTTTTCCATCTCGGTGCAAATCGGGCCTTAAATCTCCCTGAGCCTTTCAGAGCTTTTGTTGTTTTTACAAGTCCTAGAAAAAAAAACCAACGCTGTATTATTTTTGCAGATTGACCGAAGATGCCCGGTAGAACTCGTGAGAATATCGTTGTTGTTGTTTTTAAAAAAAGGCAGTAAAAACAATAAAGTAGAGCAAACCATGCTAAATCAGCTTAAAACAATATAAGCGGTACTTGTTATATACAACACCAGCGATATTAATAAGAGAGGCAGCTTCAGGGAAACTAAAATGGAAACGTTAAAAGCAAAAGGAGGAACAGGGTCCATTTGCCGAATCTAATGTTCACCACCGAAGGGTTCTACGCGTAGCCGAAAATAAAAACTCAGAATTTAGGGTGGCCAAAACATCAAGTTAAGAGATCCGGTCAGAAAAATATATATGAAAAAATAATAACATTTCAGTCCATGTAAATGTGTGGATGGTACAAATGATATAAAAATTTCACTAAATGTGAACAGGCATTTCCCCACATTTCCCCTAACCTATTTGAAATCTGTGAATTTCCTCGATGTGTACAGGAGAACATGGAAGCACATGCATTCTCCACCACTGCATATTCCTCAAGACAGATAACTCCCTTCTCTATTTACATGGGAGGCTGCAGAGTCACAGTGAATAATTCACAAGTGAAACACAACCCACACAGTCAGTGTTGCTCCCATACTTGCTAATCACAACATCCGAGGCAAGCCATGTGCATGGCAGATTCGGTTTCTATCAACCTCCTCACCTGCAGTACAATCCGAGCACAAGAGAAACAAACCCTGCCCTCTTCTGCTGAATCCTGATTTTAAAATGTCCTCCCGGTTCTCCTTCCCCTACCTCCTGCTTCCCGATACAGGCCTATCCCTCATTCTCAAAGTGGAGCAAAAAGACCACATCCCTCTGCTGTCCACCACGGCGGGTGTGAGAGTCATGATTCACCGGCACAACCAAACCCCCTTTTTGGAGCACGAAGGTTTTGACATCAGACCCGGGACCAAAAGTACCATCGGCATCAAACAGGTGGGATTGCTGGTCTCTCGAAGGCGACTTTCAAGAACTGGAAATGCTGGCGGGGAGATTGTTAGGTCTATAGCAGGGGTCGGCAACCTGCGGCTCTGGAGCCGCATGTGGCTCTTTCATCCCTCTGCTGTGGCTCCCTGTCGCCGGTCGGCTCCACAATTGATAGGGCTTTCAGTTAGGACAGGTAGAGGAAAAAACGACTCCGTGCTAGGAGGAGACTCCATGGTGGGGGGAACCGGACTTCCGGTTGGCTCCAAAATTGAACGGGGGGCTTCCAGTTAGGACTTTTGTGGCTCTTTGAGTGTTTTAAGGTTGCCGACCCCTGGTCTATAAGATACCCAGCAGGTGATTGACAGGTAGTCCTCTACCTAGGGCTACAATGGAGCCCCAAGCTTTCGTTGCTAAACAAAACAGCTGTTAAGTGAGTTTTGCCCCATTTTATGACCTTTCTGGCCACAGTTGTTTAAGTGAATCACTCCAGTTGTTAAGTGAGTAACATGGGTGGGTGGATGCGGAAACACGTAGCTTACTGATAAGAAGTAAAGTAGCTTACTGATAAGAAGTGAGTAACATGGTCGTTAAGGGAATCTGGCTTCCCCATTGACTTTGCTTGTCGTAACCTTGGCCCGTCTCCGTTGATCCTGGGGCCAAGGTTACGACCGAGAAAAGAAGTTCAAGATTCCTAGACTTTCTCTTGGAAAGTCCAGAGATGGCTGCATCCTTTTAGTCACTGAACTCCTTAGGAAACGATATTGATCAGTTCACAGTTTCCAATGCTGGAGACAATATACAGTCGTTACGATTTTGTTAAGTGAGTAACATGGTCGTTAAGGGAATCTGGCTTCCCCATTGACTTTGCTTGTCGGAAGGTCTCAACATGTGACCCTATAACCCAGGGATACTGCAAACGTCATAATGACCTGCCAGTTGTCAAACGTCCGAATTTTGATCCTACGAGCATGGAGATTCTGCAACTGTTGTAAGAGTGAAAAATGCTGTTGTAACTTCGAATGGTCACTAAATAAATGGCTGTAAATCGAGGACTACCTCTACAGTTCAGTGTTGACAAATGAGGAACCCCCATTAGCCACAAGAGCAGTAGACTGTCCTCTATATGTATATACTCTCCCAAACAACCAGCCAAGACAAGCGAACAAAGCATATTCCCAAAAAGACAGGTATAGGGAAAGCATTTTGACTTAATCCAGAGAGTACCAAGCATCAGCAGCTGGGTTTGGAGACACTGAATTTTGCAATAAAATGCTGTTTTTCTCTCCCAACGGACTAGGATGAGGTGTCACGCTTGGGTGGGAAATACAGCCAATGTACCAATAACGGGGAAGATGTCAACATCAAATTACTCTACAATGGCACGTATACACTGCAGGTATGGAGAAAGCGAAGAGGGCGCGGTCCCCATTTATTTGATTATGTCTCATCTTTGAATCCCGGCCCGTCTCCATTGATCCTGGGGCCAAGGTTACGACCGAGAAAAGAAGTTCAAGATTCCTAGACTTTCTCTTGGAAAGTCCAGAGACGGCTGCATCCTTTTAGTCACTGAACTTCTTAGGAAACGATATTGATCAGTTTACAGTTTCCAATGCTGGAGACAGCAGTCGTTACGATCTTGTCCATTCATTTGTCTAGTCCCTCTTTTTCAAGCCTTCCCAGTTGGCAGCCATCACTACACTGTATAAATATACAGCATATATTTAACATGTGCCCCATTCAAACAATATCCAGGCCCAACCCCTCTCAATTACTGTGTTCTGACTTAGGCTTCCCCAGCAGCACGAAGCTGAGTCCTCATCCCGATAAACTCTTTTTATTTAATTTACAGCTAATTCCTCTCCGGCAAAATCTTTCCTCTCCCACAGTCTTTCAAGATAGTTCACAATGACCGACCTTTATCAGGCTTGGAGAGTGGCCAGGCCGATATCTTTCAGACTCCATATTGTAACAATACTTGGCAAGAATGCAGAAACAGATCTTCACCCAAATGTACTAATTGTCTCCTGCAAACTCCCCTCCCCTTTCGCTCCTCTTTTATTCCTCTGGGAGGGGACATTCACCGTCCACCTGTGGCTTTACTCCTGAGTCGACCCTTGTTCCTTAACTGTTCCCTTCTCCTGGCAACTCACACTGGGAACAGGCTCCAGCTGTTTGTCTGCCTCACCGATGTCCGACTCCGAAGGCAGCTGAACAACTGTCAGACGGCCCTGACCCTCTTTCTGCCTCCGACACAGAGTGCCTTCCCCAGACTCCAGGACTGGCCCATGTTCCTCCCCAATCTCCTCATTGTCTGAATCTGCTGCCAGATCCACTGGCGGGCCACAACAGCCTGGCTATGAACCTAATTGCAATCCCGGTCTAAAATTCAGCATTTTATCCTCTTGTCAACAGATCTTTTTCCCTGCTCACTCCCAGAGCAGTACCATTTTCGTGTTCCTCGGTTGGGTAGAGCCCTCCCTGCTCCTCTTAACCCATGTTCCTCGTGCAATCTAATGAATCTGAGGTTCCAGGTTCAGCGCAATAAGGGGAAACCACCCCGTTTTGCTCTGCTCTCCCAACCAACGTTGCCATTTCACATCTTCTTGCAGGCCTGTTTGCATTCCTGCTTCCAGCATCATATGGTCCAGAAGTGTGGCTGTGGGTATTATTTTTACCCATTACCTCCTGGGGCCGAGTATTGCAACTACAATAAACATCCTGCCTGGGGTAAGGAATCAAGATGAACAAGGGCATTGATCTGGCTGGTGTCCTCCACATCTATCTCCCTAAGCTTGTTGGATGTTTTGCTTCACTGTCTTTTAGTCAGATTTCGGAGTGGGCAGACGGGCCAAACTCCCACTCTAGGCTACAATATGGTGGTGGCTTTCAAATTCTTTTACTACCGGTTCTGTGGGTGTGGCTTGGTGGGCGTGGCATGGCTTGGTGGGCGTGGCAGGGGAAGGATACTGTAAAATCTCCATTCCCTCCCCAATCCAGGGGAAGGATACTGCAAAATCCCCATTTCCTCCCGATCAGCTGGGACTCGGGAGGCAGAGAATAGATGGGGGCGGGGCCAGTCAGTATTTTTACTACCGGTTCTCCGAACTACTCAAAATTTCCGCTACCGGAACTGGTCAGAACCTGCTGAAACCCACCTCTGCTACAGTACATTATTGCCTCTGCCGCCGTTTTGGAACTCCCAAGAGCTGCCTTTTTCTTTGTGCCCTCTCAATTTATACGTTTTAAGAGCTTCAATACCATCCTTTGTTGTGCAAGGGTATCCAGTACAGTTTGACAAGGGAGAACAGTTCCTTTTTTTTTCCATTCTTCATTTTTCAATTCCTGTTTATTTTGCCATGGTGGTCCCGTTCTGTAATGGGCTGTGAGAATAACCTTGGGGGAGACAGGAGGAAAAGCAGCAGCAACTGTCTGACAAGAGATATCTCAGCCCACAGACGGAATGGGGTGGAGGAAACATCTCAGAAGGAACCCTCCCTAGTTCTATGAACTGTAAAGGGAAGGCCTCCTGCAAGATCCTATTGTTGTAACCTTACAACAATAGTAGCGTTTAGCCCTCGTAGTTTTGGTTCCTCATCTGGACTTTCTCAAAGGCTGATGCATTTACTGAGAAATTGATGTGGGCTTAATACTTGAGGTAAAAAAAAAAAAAAAAGAGGGGGGAGCTAATCTTCGCTTTGTTCTTAGAGCCGCTACGGGACAGTTCCGTATTTCGTCCTTTCAAAGTCTCGGTGAGGATAAGGCAGCCTAAACGCCCACTCTCGTGTTTAGAGTTTGGACAGCAGCCTGACCCAAGGCTATTCAGTTGGAAACAGGAAGGGAAAGCCAGATATTGCACAGCTGTAGATAGGAAATGACAGTCCAGCTGTCTTCGCCTGGAAACAGGAAACGTGGGTTTTCTCGAAGCCCAAGCTCAGCTTCTCCTTTGGGATCTTCCAGCTCTGAATCTTCAGCGACTATTTTACCTGTGGTGATTGCCTTCTCTCTATTGACCTCATTCCTCTCTTCCCCAGGTCATTGCTTCTATCTGCTGTACAAAGAGCTCACCGACCACCAGTTAATCTGCTTTAGCCAGTGCCCCAAGCTGTGCAAGTGAGTAGCCGAGGAATGTTCATGTGGATTTATTTTTATTTTATTCGGCTTATATGCCACCCTATCTCCCAATGGACTCAAGGCGGCTCACAATAATAAAAACACAAGCCACAATACAAAATAAAATCTAAAATCTAAAACATTTAAAATTTAACCCTTAAAACCCCCCATCAGACCAGGATGGAAGGATAGCAGGTTTACCTCCCCTCGTTTTTTGCTGTTTCCTGTCTTGTCCCGTGAAATCTCATCTCCTCCCATGCTTCAAATCCTCCAAGCGTGCACGCAGACACGTAAGCTGTTGCAGGCTTGAATCTTCCCTGGGCCAGGTTTCCACACCTCAGGGACATTACAGATGAACAGAGTTGGAAGGGAATTTGTAGGTCATCTACTCCCACACCACCCCCTCTTCCAAGCAGGAGACCCTACACCAGTGGTGGGTTCTAACCGGCTTTACTACCAGTTCTCTTCGCGCACGCGCTTTGCGCGCGATCGCCAGTTCGTTTTTCATCATCTTATAGAACTACAGCGATTCCCAAATCTTTGGGGAGGGCTTGACAATATTGCAAAAATATTTGAAGTAAATATGAATGCAAACTTGCTGGATCAGTATGGAATTAACAGCAGACTCTGATGTCATTGGCAGGGAAACTTGGTATAAGCTCTCCGCCGGATACGCTAACTGGCCGTCAACTAAATCTCAGGTAAAGCAATACTTTTTCTTTTCTTTTTCTTTTTCTTTTTTCTTTTTGCACAGACTGGGAACGGGAAAGAACGTAGTAACGATTTACAGTGGACAGCATAACAATTAAAAGTACCTCCCATAGAGTTGCTTCCATCCCACCGTTCTTGAAAGGATTTGGAAGCTGTCCCTGCTTCTCTTGACCTTGGAAGGCTGAGAACAGACAGGGCACACCTTGAGCTAAATAGCTCCTGATAGGATAAAGATCATATTTCATGGAATATCTTTCAGTGATAACAATTCACAGAGACACATGGGTATACACAGGGATGGGCTTCAAAAATCTGAGCCAGTCACACTTCATCCAACTTTCTTTTGGGGAAAACGGGAGGAAGTACCACATGCTCCTTCCTTTGAGCACAATTTTAAAAAAATAATAATTGGCAGCCTTTCCTACATCATCGCTCTGAGACCCATCAGAATTCTTGGCTGAACTCCGTATTTCTACCAGTTCTCCCCGTCTAGCGTGCAGCCTTTTTTTGGTCTTATGTCTTTCCTTTCAGATTTTAATTTCGGTCCCCACATTTCTATTTCAGAAATGGATTCACAGAGCGCTGCAGACAGACCACAGGTACAACATCACCACAATGAAGAGGTTAGTTAGAGGATTTTCTTGTTCTTTGGCTGGAGAAATCCTACCCGTGATTTGCAGGCGGTGTGTGACTTGGCTTGCTTCCCTGGAACAACGATAGTTTCCTTCGGGGGACTTAATGAAAATTTTTCTGTTTGAAATCAGGGCTCTCAGATTCAAGGACAAACTTTCTACTGTAGAGAAATTCTGTAGTTCGCTCACCTTTTCTTTCCCTCCATTTCAGCAAGGATATTGCCAAGGTGAATATTTTCTATGAGCAATTAGATTACTACTCTTGGGATGAGTCTCCGGAATATAACGTAAGTTGGGGAGGAATTCCTCTTTCATGCCTGCACTTTATGCCAGGAAGACAACAACGTTGGAAGCCACTAACCGTACGGTTCATGTTTTTATTTGGGGTTTAGGTGACCCTGGTGATGTCCAACATGGGAAGCCAATGGAGTCTTTGGTTTGGCTCCTCTGTCCTCTCGGTGGTTGAGATGTTTGAGTTCCTCGTGGACGTCATCATCTTATCTCTCATCTTCTTCTATCGGCGGCTTACAGCCAAGAGAAGGCACAAGGTGTCGAGCCCCCCCAAGATGCCAAGCGTGAGTTTGACTTTGGAGAAATACCGCTACATCGAAGAAGGCTTGGCCACGGACCAAGATGCAGAGAAGTCTCAGACCAGCTACGAGAATCCATCCTTTGTTCACGACGAGGGACTCCCTCCGTATTCCAAATATAACAAGTATCAGATGCCGGAATTATATCCACCGGTGGTTCTTCACCGGTTTAAGCACCAAGAAGACCAAGGGACGCACCAAGATCACAAGAGTTAACGGCCACAAGGCCATTTTCAAAGGACAGTTTCTCTCCGGGGGAAGTGGAGCCCTGCGAAAGGAGCGGTGATTTTCCCACCCTTGGAAATGTCAAAGCCCAAAGGATAGGACCCACGGGATTGGGCATTCGACAGATGGTGGAATGGGTGATTGTTCTCTTTTAGGTTTTCCTAAGGCAGATCAATGACTATGCCTGTAAGGGGAAGACAGGACTTCCTCAATGAGCTCATGGAGGTCACGCAGTCAGCAACCCTCCCACCCCTTTTTTTCCCCGGACTAGGCAGTTGACACACTGCGTGCTAATGAATTCCTGGATTGACTTGAAAATTGTTTCTTCTTCCTTCTGTTATTAGATTCAGCTGGGCACCCTCGACTAGGATAAATTGGATCCTCGACATTTCACAGATTTGCTCAGGTTAAATGTTAAACCACTCATATATATTTTTTTTTTCTAAAAATACCTCTTAAGTGGACATTTACGAGGAAACGTTTTGTATCGTCTGCATTAACGGGACCGCCGGGAATCTTGGGAGGATGCGGATAACAGTCATCCGCGCTCTTCATTTGAGCAAAAGGACTTTTTGTGCTTG